TTAGCCTTAAAGAAATGCTTCTTTTTACTTTACTTCTAGTTCTTCTACTAAGTCATTCATTTTACTTTCCCCTAGTGTATGTATGTGTGTATACTTTGGTAATAGAAAACAATGAAAAAAGAAATAACAGAAGGACATTCCCCAGAGCTGAATGACAAAGATCTCAATGGGAAAGGGCCCAGCAAACTCCCTGCAAAAGGGGTCAGAAAAGGCCCAGACCTCATCCCGTTACCATGTGTATCAGAGTATCTTGCAGAACAATAAAATGAAAAAGTTTTTCAGAGAAGAGATTTGGAAATTAATCACTGAAAGAAGAGAAACAAGAGGCATCATCTCAAAACTGTTAGAAGAAAGAAAATGCAAGTAAAAAATAAATCTGTCAAAAGTCAAGAAAGGAAAAAGAAAGAAAGAAATTATGGCAGATTGAAAACATGGAGTGGGGAGGGTGTAGCTCAGTGGTAGAGTGTGTGCTTAGCATGCACGAGGTCCTGGGTTCGATCCTGGGATCAGTCCCTCTATTAAAAACTAAATAAGTAAGTAAACCTAATTACCTCCCCCCAAAATAAATTTTAAAAAATTAATTATCCCAAAAAAAGAAAAAAGAAAAGAGCAAATTAAAAAGTATGTTACAGAGAAAATTTTGTGTAAAAAACCAAAACAAAACTTCACTTATGTGTATGTATTCTTATGTATACAAATATGCACAGAAATATAGCTGAAAAGACACATCAAATTGCTAAGTCTGGGGTTGGAAATGGGGTAAATTTCTTATTTTGTGGCTGAGTAGTATTTCATTGTATATATATATACATATATATATATATGTATATATATATATATATACACACCACATCTTCTTTATCCAGTCATCTGTCAGTGGACATTAAGGTTGCTTCCATGTCTTGGCTATTGTCAACAGAGCTGCTGTGAACATTGGGGTGCATGTATCTTTTCGAATTAAGAGTTCCCACTGGATATATGCCCAGGAGTGGGATTGCTGGATCATATGGTGGCTCTATTTTTAGTTTTTAAAGGACCCTCCATACTGTTTTCCATAGTGGCTGTGCCAAATTTTATTCCCACCAGCAGTGTAGGAGGGTTCCCTTTTCTCCACACCCTCTCCAGCATTTGTCATTTGTGGACTTTGTAATGATGTCCATTGTGACCAGTGTGAAGTGATACTTCATTGTAGTTTTGCTTTGCATTTCTTTGTGATATTGAGCATATTTTCACGTGTCTTTGGCCATCTGTATGTCTTCATTGGAGAAATGTCGTTTTAGGTCTTCTGCCCATTTTTGGATTGGGGTGTTTGGGCTTTTTGTTATTGAGTTGTATGAGCTGTTTGTATGCTCTGGAAGTTAAGCCCTTGTCAGTTGCGTTGTTTGCAAGGAAGACAGATTTGGTTCTGTTTAAATCTGAAGATGAGACTGAATCCTGGCTGACTTGGGCTCCTCATTATACCATTAGGCAGGAGATGCAGGTAATTGTACTTTTACGGGTGACTGATTCTGATTAAGAACAGAAATAGGTCTGCTGCTTCACGATGGGAAAAAAGAGGACTGAGCCTGGAATTCGTGAGACTCTGGGGTGCCACATAGCACCCCCATGTCCAATAACACAATGGTCAGTGGTGAATTGTGGTGACCCAGGAAAGATGGGTCAAGGATTTGGATGCTGTAGAAATGAAGTTTGGGGTCACCCTACCTGGTCAAAGAATCCTGACCAGCTGAGGTGCTGGGAGAGGGTAAGTATCATGGAAAATGTAGAAGAAGGAGGCTATAATTGTCAACCATAAGTCTCAGACACAAAAGGAAAGAAGAAACAAGGACTTTACTTGCAAAGAACTTGTAAGGGAATCAGAGTTTGGGAGGACAGGCTTATCGAACAAAACCACAGGTTTCGAAGGAAATTCTGCACAATTACCGGCATTGACAAGTTTTTATCAGTCTACTCCTTTTGGCAAAACAGAACTTCCCTCATATGATTATCCTGTTCACAAAAAGTTCATGACAGATCTTTAGGCATCAGCATTGCAAAAGTCAGGGATAAATTTGTTTTTCCTAGGGAGTCAGCAGTTTGGGAAATGTTCAAAGTTTAACTTATTTTGAGGACTGGAAGGAGAACTATTTTTTTTTCCTGTGAGTCTGTGTGAAATCCATATGCAATTTATCAGCAAAAATCCTGTCAATTCTACCTTCACTCTATGTCCAGAATCAGAACACTTCTCCTCACCCGTACACCCACCACCATCATCTCTCACCTGGATATAGATCTTTACCTGGAGTCTGGGTTACCACTCTGGTCCCTTTTCATGAAATTCACAACACAATAGTCACACTGTTACAGTTAACATTTAAGTCAGTTCACTCACTCCTCTGCTCTGACTCCTCAAAGTCTGCCCCGCTAAGTCTGAGTAAAAACAGATCTGCAAAAATACTTACAAAGCACTAAAAACTTGTTGTTCCATGTTTTGCCTCTGTGACTCACCTACTTCTTCTCTATCTAGGTCATTTCTCTATAAAATCTCTGGCATCTCTGGCAAATGGGTGATCCTTGTACATACCAGACATTCTCCCACACCAGGACCTTTGCACTTGCTGTGCCCTCTGGAACACTCTTCCTCCTGAGGCTCCCCATGACTTGCCCTCTCACCTCCTTCAGACTTTTTTTGCTCCGAGATCATCTTTGCAATAAGGCCACCCTTGACAGCCTGTTAGACATTGACCTGATCTGACTAACTTCCTTGCTGTATTTCTCTCCATAGCACTTATCACCATGTGACCATGTATATTTTACTCATTTATTCTGTTCATCTGTTACCCACTAGAATATAAGCTCTATTGACCAGGGTTTTTTCTGCCTGTTTGTCCACTTCTGAAGGATGCCTCTTCTGAAGGAGGATGCCTGGCACAGTGCAGATACTGTTGACAAAAATGGTCCAGAAACTATGATATGAATAAGAATAGAATGATAAGAATAGAAAAGAGTTTTATCTGAGCCAAGCTGAGGACTATAACCCGGATGCCAGCCTCCCAGATGACTCTGAGAAACTGCTCTGGAGAAGCATGGTTTGCAGCACAGTTTTATATCTTGTCAAAACAAAGAACACTAAACAAGTTAGAGATACATTTCTTCAAGGTTTCAAAAAAAATCCCCCCAAAAAACCAGACTGACATGTACACAGTGAGTCGGTATGGCCTTGGGACCTGGGAAGGGAGTCATTATCAAAGGAGGACCAGCATTAGCATCCCAGGAAGAGAGGCATTTAATCTTTACTTCTAACATGGGCATCCTTTACTTCTGGTCAATGCTCCCTTTTCTTTAATAATTAAAGCAGATGTACAATTCAGGTTAACTCATGAGATAGCCAGTGACTTCCCCATACCTCAACATGTGAAAATTTTCCTTTATCAACACCCAATACATGTTTTTTTTAAACACCTTTCTTTTGGTATGATTCTTGTACAGTAAACTAGACATATTTCAGATGTACAATCTGATGAGTTTTGATAGATGTATACACAAAAATAATGAGTAAATGCTTGGATGAGTGAATGGAGAAACATTCTATGTTCTTGGTGGGAAAAGTTCAATAATGCAAAAATGTCAATTATTCCCAAATTAACGTGTGAATCGTAGTAGACGCAGAGGTAAGAGACCCCGACCTCCCTTCCAGGAAGGACTGGGTGCCCAGCTGTGGGGACTGTAACCTGTGCAGACAGCCACCTCTCCTGAGGTCCTGCCCTTGCTGGGGTATCCTCCATTTGGTGACAGCGAGGTGGGTGATAAAGATCCCATTGCAGCCCAGCGATGGGCAGCTCTGGCAGGCAATGCAATCTGAACTCCCAGAAACCCCTGTTAGATTGGCTAAAGCTTTATGGGTCTTTGCAGCTGTTTAACGCCTCCCTCTGCCCTCTCCTTTCCTTTCCCCTTCCTTCCACAGGTGTTGATGCTTAATAAGTAGCCTGCACCCTAAATTCAGTCTCAGCACTGGCTTCCAAAACCCAGTCTGGAACAAATACTAATTAAAATACCTGTGGGGGAGGGTACAGCGCAGTGGCAGAGCACGTGCTTAGCATGCACGAGGTCTTGGGTTCAATCCCCAGCACCTCCATTAAAATAAATAAATAAATGTATAAATAAATATCTAATTACCTCCCCCACCAAAAAAAAAAAAAACCAGAAAGAAAAAACCCCCACAATTCTGGAGGGAGGGTATAACTCAGTGGTAGAACGCATGCTTAGCAGGCACAAGGTCCTGAGTTCAATTCCCCAGTACCTCTGCTTAAAATAATAACTAAATAAATAATACATTAAAAAATTTTTAATTAAGAAAACACCAAATAACAAATAAAAATAAAGCAAGAAAACAAAACAAAACTGGAAACAACCTAAATGTTTATCAATAGAGAAAAGCTTAATAGATAAATTATGGTACATATTATGACATGAGGTGAAGATGAGAAGTGAATAAAGGGCATTTTGTAAACTGATGCGGCAAAATGTTCCTGAAGCCTTGTTAAATGAATTTTTAAGAGCAAGAAGCAGAACACAATCCCATTTAATTAGAAAATAAAATCTGAAATGGATTTGCTTTCCTTCTTCCCCTTTTAAGACACTAGGAATCCTTCCTACTGAAAAGATTGTGTGTGTCAATTCAGGGCAGCCCCCTTGCAAGGATGGAAAGGGTTGACAGGATTGAACTGAATCCTTTCGTTAAGATTGTGTATGTGGAGAGAGCCCAGGTTATGGTGTCAGGCAGCACTGGGCTTGAATTCTCTTTTGCTTACCAGATATGTGATCTTGGGCAAGTCACGCAATGGCTCTGAGCCTCAGTCCATCATCCCAAGTTCGTCTCAAGGTTCTGGTGGGAATTGAATGGTTAATGCACGGCAAATGTCTGGCACAATCCTCATCGCAGATTTGGTGCTCAATAAATTCTTTTTTCCAAGGCTCCTCCCCTCCCATTCTGGCCAGGAGATCCTATTCTCAGCCACCCTCTCCCCTCCTTCTGAATGGAGTGAGAAGAGCTGACCAGAGCTGGCCGAGCTCCATGACTGAGACCCCAGAGGAAGCGCAGATGCCTGGGACTCAGCGTCAGGACTGAGCAAGAGCACAGCAATGAGTTCCTCTGGCCCCGGTTGTGCAGTGATGGGGACACCGACAATTCTGATATTCATTCAGATGCAGGAAGTGAAAGAGGTGTGGGGCAGAGGAGAAACAACAGATGGCACCTCTGGTTTCTTCTGGTCTAACTCCTCTCCCTCAAGTGGGAAAATTGAGGAAGTTAGGGGAGCTCAAAAGAAGCGGAAAGGGAGTAAACACTCCCTGGAGGAAGAGATTAAAGCTGGCCCTATATCCAGCTGCCCCTACACACCATCTGCCTGGGTCCTGATTTCAATTCCTCCCTGTTGTTATTTACTGCCCCAACTGGGGAGATCCCCATTTATAGACTCCTGGCGGCTCCTCCTTCTGTCAGCCCCACTCCTGCTTTTGAGGATTTAATTTTTTCCACCTCTGGTCATTACTGCACAAAGAACTCAGGGATCACCTCCTCTCGACTTTTCACAGGTAACCGGGCTGGGGATGCAGATGAGACCAAGGGGACAGGGAGGATGTCAGAGAAAGCAGGGATTGGGGACTGTGGGTCTTAGGTGGGACTGAGTGAGAAGATATATATGGGGGCAGCTGGGGATTTAATGACCGAGTGGAGATTTTAGACTCTTCCCTACAATGGATGCCGATTGAATAATGGCAGCTACAACCTTGGTCACAAGCTGAGACTCACACTCAGCCCCTTCTCAAGCCTAGTTCCAGCCTCATCTTCAGCCTCCACCCCAGCCACAGCCCGAACCCCATAGTAACCCCAACTTCCCCTCAGCTTCAGCCCTAGAGTCTGCTTGAATCTTATCACCAGCCCCAACCCAGGCTTGAACTTCCACTGTATCCTATTTCCAACTTCTGCTTAGGTCCAACTCCATCCATAGCTTCAACGTGAGTACTGACCCCAGTCGTAGCAGGAGATGCAATCTCGCTTCCAGCCTCAATGTTAGGTCCAGTCCTAGCAATACGTGTAGCTCCAACTCTACCTCTGCCATCAACCCCAAACTCAACGTGACCCTCGCTCAGGCCTAACCTTGACCCAACTTCCGACCTCAGCTGCAAACCGAAGCCCTTCCCCTCCCCGCGCCTAGCCTTGGCCCCGGTTCCTTCTCGACCCTCATCCCTTACCTCAGCTCTGGCCCTGACCACAGCTTCTACCTAGTCCCAGCCTCCCCTCTACCCCAGCTCCTGCCCCTGCCTGGCCACTGGCCCTGCCTCCATTTCATCTCCGACGGCCTCAGAAGCTGTGTTGGTCCAAGCATGTCAGTGAAGTATGAAGACCTCCAGTACTTGGAGAGCGAGAAGAAAAGCCATGGCTCTACAGATGGTAAGAGGGAAGGAGGAACGGTCTTTCCTAAATCCCCTCTTCATGTTTAGAAGGGTTTCTGTGGTCAGGTCCTGTCTGCACTTCTACCATGTGTACTGGTGGGGTCCTCCATGCTAAGGGGGTCAGGCCCCAGCCTCTGGGAGCCCCTGTAGGAAGAGGGTTCAAGGTCCACAGCAGGCCTGGCCTCCTATGCTCTGGAGAGGGCATCAAACCCATTTTCTAACCTGTTTTCACTGATAAATATGAGCCTGTTAAGGATCTGGCTGCTCCCAGCTCTCTCTGGGTCCTCCCGCCACCTCCCCCAGCTCTGATGATAGGACCTTACCTATCGCATCGTCCCCTGTCTGTGTGTCTCTGTGTATATGTGTCCCCCGGGGGTGTGAGGGGCCCAGGTGACGGAGCACTTGCGCTGGTCCATGAGGAGTCAGAGGCTTGGACGTCCCCTGTCCCACAATCCTCCTTGTCCAGGCTCCTCCAAGCACTACCTGCACCAGCCTTCCCCCCGACAGGTCTCCGTGGCCCTCTCTTCCTCCCCGTCTCTCTCCTGTCCGGACCCTTCTCATCCTGACACCCTCTCCTCTTGCAGGGCTGCCTCCCCCACGGACCTTCCTACAACGTGTCCTCTCTGTCCCCTGGCCCCTCCTGCTCTCCCTGAGCCTCAGCCTCCTCCTGCTGGTCGGCATCTGTGTGATCGGATCCCAAAGTGAGGGGCACAGGGTGGGTGGGGACGAGAGAAATAACCGGTTGTGGTGGGGGAGGGGGGCGTGGATGGCGATAGTGATGGATGAGGGTGACTGCTGGCTTTGTCACTTATCAATTGGGGAACGAAGTCAAATTACTTCACCGCTCTAGGCCTCAGTTTCCTGCCTGCAACACTGAATAACAACAGTGCCTGTCCCTTTGGGTTGGGTCCCTGTGGGGACCAGTGAGACAAGGCACGTCAAGTACCCCACCCAGTGCTGGCAGAGAGGGAGCCTGCTGGCCCCTAGCACTGATTGTCCCATCCACCTGATCAGATTCCAAGTTTCAGAGGGACCTGGCGACCCTGAGAACGACTTTTAGCAATTTCACTTCAAACACGGCGGCTGAGGTCCAGGCACTGAACTCCCAGGGTGAGCCAGGCATGGAAGGGGCTCTGGACCTGGGTAGGGTACAGTGGGGAAGCCAGGAAGGCTAACTTCTGAGTTCTGAGTCCCCCTGTCCTCCAGATGGCAGTTTGCAAGAAAAGATAACATTCCTGAAAGCCGAAGTGGAAAACCACAAGCAGGAATTACAGGCAGGTGAGAGACACTCTGGGAGAGTGTGTGGAGGGGCCGGGGCCAGGCTCTCAGGACAGAGCGGGAATGGGGGCAGCCACGTGGTGCTGAGTGCCCTCCCCTCCAGCCCGTAGCTTGAACGACAAGATGTTTTCCCTGGATGGCAAGTTGGAGAATCAGCAGCAGGAACTCAAGGCAGGTCAGGCCCCTGCTCCCCTCCACCTGGGCAAGGGAGGGCAAGGGGGCTCCCATGCATGGACCTCTGGTCTCCAGGGGCTCATGGAGCAGACCTCACACCCAGGGCACTGTCTCCACTGCCCATCTGTGTGTGTCCCAGGTTATTCGGAAATGCTCCTGCAAGTCCAACATCTGGTCAAGAACTTGAAGTCCCTGACCTGCAAGGTGGCTGCTCTGGAGAGCAATGGTGAGGGGTTTGGGGGGCGTGCCTGGCCCTACTTCCTGCCCACGGCCCCTGGGCAGCATCTCAGACCCTCCCCAACCCCGGCCCCTTAGGGTCTCGCAACACCTGCTGTCCCACTAATTGGCTGGAGCACGAAGGCAGCTGCTACTGGTTCTCTTCCTCTGGGAAAGCCCTGGCCTGAGGCTGAGAAGCAGTGTCAGCTGGAGGACGCCCACCTGGTGGTCATCAACTCCAGGGAGGAGCAGGTGAGGGCCTCTGGATCGCGTCCCAAGATATGTCCCATTGAAGCAAACGGTTCTCAACCTTGGCTGCACATTGGAGTCACCTGGGGAGCTTTAAAAACTACTGCCATCTGAGCCAGACCCTCAGAGGTTTAACTGGCCCTGGAATCTCCTCAAACAATGTAATTGACACGTGAAGTTCAGAACTGCTAGTCCAAGGAGCTGGCTGGGATGGGGAGAGGTCACCAAGCCCTTCTGTCTCCCCAGAATTTTGTCCAGGCCCACATCGCCTCCTACACCTGGATGGGTCTCAGCGATCTGGATGGAGTCTGGAAGTGGGCGGATGGGACGGACTATGAGACCAACTTCAAGTGAGTACCCCCAGCTTTCTGTGTCCTCCCTCCTTCAGCTCTGCTCCTAGAGGGTCTGACCCACGGCCCCTGCTTCCCAGACCTGGGTTCTGTTCCATCTGACCTTCTGAGTTGGCTGTTGTCCTCTGCCCCCAGGAATTGGAAGCCGGGTCAGCCAGATGACTGGTCCGGGCACGGGCTGGGTGGGGGCGAGGACTGTGCGCACTTCCATCCCGATGGCAAGTGGAATGACGATGCCTGCCAGAGGCCCTACCGCTGGATCTGCGAGGCCGGGCTGAGCAAGGCCACCTAGGAGGGTGGCCCGAGTTGTTTCCTGTGGACCCGCGCCACCAAGGAACTGGCGGGGTTGGGGGAGGGGGACTTGTCTCTCTGTGGGAGACAGATGAGCCCAGGGAGACTGGAGCACTGCCATCATTTCAAATATTTTTCCTTAATTTTGAAAAGACTGTATAGTGTTCCTAAGGTATTTTTAAAATTTCTTCTTCATTGAGGTGTAACTGACATATAAAGTTGTAAGATATTTAAAGTGTACATCCTGATTTGATACATGTATACATTGTAAAAGGATTCTCCCATATAGTTAGAATATCCATAACCTCACATACTTCTCTTGTTTTCTAAGTGAGAACACTTGAATTCTACTCTTTTAGCAGATTTCAATTAAACATTGCAGTGTTATCAACTATAGTTACCATGTTTTACATTAAAACCATCAGTTCTTATTCATCTTAATAGCTGAAAGTTTGTACCCTCTTACCAACCTCTCCCTCTTCCCCTGACCCCCCAGCTCCTGACAACCACTTCTCCGCTTTCTGTTTCTATGACTGTGACTTTAAGATTCTACATATAAGAGATAAGTTATTACAAGATATTGAATATAATTCCTTGTGTTATACAGTAAACCCTTGTTGCTTATCTATTTTATGTATAGTATTGTGTATCTGTTAATCCCATGCTTTACCCCTCCCTTTCCCCCTTGGTAACCATAGGTTTGTTTTCTACGTCTGTGGATCTGTTTCTGTTTTATGTATAGATTCATTTGTATTATTTTTTAGATTCCACATATAAGTAATACCATTAATATTTGTCTTTCTCTGCCTGACTTACTCCACTAAGTATAATATTCCCTGGGTCTGTTTTTGTTGCTGCAAATGGCAGTATTTCATTCTTTTTATGTCTGAGTAATATTCCATTATATATATGAATATATACATACATATATATGTATACAAACACACACACACACACACACACATACACCCCACATCTTCTTAAGCTACTTGTCTGTTGATGGGCACTTGGGGTGTTTCCATGTCTTGGCTATTGTAAATAGTGCTGTTATGAACATTGGGGTACATGTATCTTTTTGAATTCGAGTTTTCGTCTTTTCCGGATAGCGACCCAGGTGTGGGATTGCTAGATCAGATGGTGGCTCTATTTTTAGCTTTTTAAGGAGCCTCCATACAAACCACCCCATAGTGACTGCACCAATTTGCATTTTCACCAACAGTGTAGGAGGGTTTCCTTTTCTCCATATTCTCTCCAGCACTTATTATTTGTAGACTTTTTGATGATAGCAATTTTGATTGGTGTGAGGTGATACCTCATTGTAGTTTTGATTTACATTTCTCTGATAATTAGTGACGTTGAGAACCTTTTCATGTGCCTGTTGGACGTCTGTACGGCTTCTTTGGAAAAATGTCTATTTAGGTCCTCTGACCATTTTTTGATTGGGTTGTTTGTTTTTTTGATATTGAGTTGTGTGAACTATTTGTATATTTTGGATATTAACCCCTTGTCCGTCGCATTATTTGCAAATGTTTTCTCCCATTCCATAGGTTTTCTTTTCGTTTTGTTGAAGGTTTCCTTTGCTGTGCAAAAGCTTTTTAAGCTTGATTAGGTCCCACTTGTTTATTTTTGCTTTTATTTCTTTTGCCTTGAGAGACCGATCTAAGAAAATATTGCTACAATTTATGGCCAAGAATGTTTTACCTATATTCTCTTCTAGGAGTTTTATGGTGTCATGCCTTGAACTTAGGTCTTTAAGCCATTTGAGTTTATCGCTGTATATGGTGTGCTCTTCTTTCTTTCTGGTTCCCCTCTTGCTCCAGTGGAACCATATCTGTCCTTGTAAGGACAGGGAGGCTGGTCCCCCACCGCTGTCTCATCTCTGGATCCGGGTTTACACCGTCATACTGCTGTTGATATTGAAAGAGAAATTTTTAGAATCCTAAAAATCTCTCTCCTCTGGCTCTTGCAAATCATTGTGGCTTTCAGAATGTTGCTTTTGTTATGAGTCTGGAAAATCCATTCAGAAATCCAGTTGAAATTTTGGTCTTAGTTTATATGCATACTCACCACAACTCTGGGCAGACTGTGGAGAGCGGTCACTGCTGAATCAGTGGTGGGCAGAGCAGTGGTTACACAGAGATTGGCACTAGCAACAAAGGAGCCTCATCTCTTGCTCCAAATATTATTATTGCATGCTTTTCATTTAATCTTTCCGCACTGCTTGGAGCTTCTAACTGCATAAAGTACTTGTCTGCATTTAAAAAAAAACTTGACAAATAGATAACATTGAAAATAATTAATGAGAAGTTTTCTCCAACTTTCACACACTCCCCAAGTTTGGAATGAGCAAGTCAAGGTCACATTGTAATGGTCACCCCCACAACAAAGACAAAATCAAAAAATTGCCACCTGGTTGAGGGAAGATTGGGTGTGACAGGGTCATGGGTGCCACGAAGGGGCTGAGTGATGATTGGTTTAAATCTACTAGGACACCCCCACTCTCTTTTGTCCATGATTGGTTTAGGGGTAGACATGTGACTCCGTTTTGGCCAATGACACCTGAGGACCTGGGATGGGCTGGGGCTTCTGTGAAAGAGTTTTGTTCTCTGATGAAAATAGAAAGATGTCTAAGGGAGGAACCTTGATTGTTGCCTTCCTGCTGTGGACAGTTCCTTGCTAAGGACACAATGTTTGCAGCAGTGGCAGCTGTCACAGGACTACGAAGGGAAAGTCAGGAGTAAGGAGTTATTTAACTGCTGACGCAGTGTGAACCTACAATGACTCCTTGGGGGAAGGCAGAGAGCTGGGTGTTTAGTGGGTCCAATGCTGGCTTAATGCTATGCACTGAGTAAGGCGCCTTACACATCCTGCTTCTCAGCTGAAATGAAAACGTGCACTTCTCTTAGAGTTAACCTACTTGGAGGTTTGGGGGAAAAGGACAGGAATCTGAAGAAAATATGTGAATCATTGGCTAGAAAAGAAGACAAATGCCTCTAGCTGTGCCCCCAGAATTAATAGGATTTGAAATGTCAGAATGAGTCATACCTGGTCATGTTTTACAAGTGGAAAAGCAGTCCCATTGTGTATTATTCACATGGTGTGTGATTACTTCACATGGTATGTGATTACTTCATGGAGGCGGTGGGAACAGTCTATTGCCATTTAATAGAATGGTTTCAGAATGAAAAAGAAAACTGCTAAATAAATCAGGATAAGCAGTGCCTGACCCTCCTAATTCCACCACTTTTTCTGAGATTGATTTGCACTGCCTGAGGACAGGGGGCTAGACCCCTCTCCCCGGCATATGCAGAGCCATGACCACTACCACCTGAAATCAGCCAGTTCAGAAGTTCACACATAAACGCTCCAGCTTCAGACCTTGGCCATGGTGTACTGTGACTAGGAATGGAGTAATTCTGTCCCAGAAGATCATAAAGAACAGAACACTTACATGAGCTAAACCGCCTTTAACCTCTGCAAGAAATTATATGGGACGGCAGTTGCAAAAGAACTGAAAAAGATTGTTCCCTTCTGTCAGCAAAACTGTTTGTTAAACTACACTCTGCTGAAGTCCTCGTCGGGTTCTGTTGATCCAGCAGATGGACAAGAGTGAATGGGAAGTGACCTCATTTGCATTATACTCCCCTGCCATCTGACCACTCGTATTAATCCTGAGACCTTTACCAGTTCACTGACCGCCAGTCAGAGCCAGGTCCATACTTCTCAGCCTAAGGGACTGGGATCGACACCCCCCACCCCCCTTGCCTTTGCTGTCCTCATTCCACCACTGCTCTTCTGGATTTTCCTGGATTCTCAGGATGTCTCCTCTCTTAAAGTCAAGGAGAGGCTGGGTCACACATCCTCTGGCTCTTTCTGCCTGAAAATCACCCCATTTCCCTGGCAGGCCCTGGGAAATGCTTCTGTCAACATCGCAGTGTCCAAATAGGACATTTTGTAGAATTCCAGTAAAGTGGGCAATGAATCAAACTCCTGATCTTCTGTTTGAAATCTGAGGTGACGCAACCCAGTTATTCCGCTCCTCTGAGTGGAAGTCGCCTGCCTTGGCCATCTCTGCATCCGTGTGCTGCGATGCTGTAGCCACCCGCAGCCCCACCCGCCCGGCAGCCACCTCCCAGCAGACCAGCTGGGCGCTCAGCCTCACTGCTGCGCCCGAAAAGGCAGTAGCAGCTGTGGGCACTCCCCACTGGAAGTCCCCCTAATCGCTTGATAATTTTTTTCTTATTCATATTTTCAAACTCTCTTCTATTTATGTAAACATATTAGATATATTTATTTGTAGTTTTCCAGTAATTCCAACGTCTAAACAACAAAATTCTATTCTGCCGTTTGCTATTTCTGCTGACTCTCATCCCCAATGTCCTGTTTCCTTTTGTGTTTTGTATTTTTTTTTTAATGCTATAAGCTCTTAGGGTTTTAAACTTTATCCCTCGAGGTTCTTTCAGGTCCGGTCTGGTGGTATATTCCTCCAGACAGGATTTATGCTTGCTTCTGCCAGGTGCCTGAGGGCCTTCCAAGCTGGGGCTACTTTAAATAAATCACTCAGCTGGATGTTTCTTGAGACTCAAATGAAGTGCGCATTTGTGCCCTGCTCCTGCTGGAGGGCAGGCTTGTGGTTATGAGTTTTTATGGGAGTCTTCTTTCATCCTCTGGAAGACCAGCTTTCTTCTTGTCTTTTTTGTGGTCCTTCCTGAGGCTGCTCTTAGGATCTGACTTCTTCCCTTATGTGGCCCAGGCCTTCTTCACCTGCCACTCACACGGGCGCACAGTTTGAAATTCGCTGTTACTATATTCAGCTTTTGGGTCATTATCTACTTTAGCCCTGCTTAGGTCTCTGGATTTGTGCTTCAGCTGTCAGAAGCCCTCTTATTTTCTTTCTAGCTAAGCCACTAATTTAAAAGGAAATAGAACAGTTTTTTTAATCCAGACCTTTTAGGTATTTTGTAGTAGGAGTTTAGCTGCCCTATTGCTAGAAAAAGAACTTAAAGCTACCATTTTACATTTATGTGTCTTGTATCTAGCCACCTTGCCAAATTTCCTTCTTTATTCTGAAAGTTTTTATGCTAGGGCCTCTTGTGTCTTCTAGGTACTCAGTCCTATCAACATTGACTTTCTTTTCTTGTACTTGCTAGGACCTCTGGGCATCGCTGGGTAACAACAATAAAAATGGGTATCCTTGCTTTTTAATGAAACAGATCTAATGATTTGCTCTTTACAACATCTGCCCTTTTGAGAACTGGCCTTTATGAAATTTAAGACATTTCCTTATATTTCTATTTTACATAGTTTTTTCTTTTAATTAGAACATGGCTGCTGAAGCACATCGTGTCTTCTTAGAGCTGATTGATTTTTTGATTGGCTACATCCAGTTTGGAACCAGTCTGGGCCTATTCCTGCTTCACTCATTCACCCC